GAAGAGTGCCCACTCGTGGGGGCCGGCGGAGGCTGGGTGGGTGCGAAGGGATCCCACCCTGCCGGAGCCCATCCTGGAATCGTTCTCTCGGGCTGGCCCCTTCGCAGCGGGGCTTGGGCGGGGCCGTGCGGCGAGTCGGGTGGGGGACGCGATGGCTGGGATTTGTCTTCTCTCGGGGTGAGCCCTACCCTAGTTCCATCAATGCCTGTGCCTTCATAGTAGGCCTCGGCAGCTGAGTTCACCATTATCCCCATTTCACAGTCCGACAAACTGAGGCGCGGGGGAACGGTCTTGGCGAGTTGCCCGAAGTCACCCTGAGTGTCAGGGAAGCAGCAGCCCCTTTCCAGGCCCGCCTGCCCGGGGGTGGTCTGGAAGGGCAGGGCAGGGCAGGGCAGAGCTGCTTTTGGTTTCCGACTAGTGTCTCAGGGAGGTTCTGACAGCTGGTGAGGAGAGGGTGTTAGGCAGGAAGTGTATGTGCATGTTCCTGTCCCCTTCCCACAGCCAGCGAAGTGGGCTGGGCTGCTGGGGAGTGGGGTGGTGGCTGGGGAGAGGGGCCCCTGCCCCCCTGAGTGTGATGACCTGGCCACTGCCTGGACTTCCTCAGCCTCCACACATCCTGCCACCTCCCTGCTGGCCCTTCCTGTCGTCAGCAGCCTCCCCTGCCCTGTCAGAGAGCAAAGAGGGATGTGGGGGAGGAGCTGAGTCAGTGTCCTGCCCGGCCCCCCAGGCCAGGGGAGGGTAGTCACTTGGCCCACTGGTTGCCTGCCAGGCCCTGCACTGGCTGCTTTCATGTTACCAGAATTGACCCTCTAAGGTGGATGGCAAGTGCCCGTCCAGCAGGTGAGGACGTGGAGGTGTAGAGAGGTGACACGGGCCCTGCTGAGGCCGAATCGGTATCCAAGGGCTATCCCGCTTTCTCTCGGGAGATAAGAAATGTACACAGTTGCCTCTCCGGGAGGAGCACGTGCTCAGCAGGGCCAGGCTGCTGGGAGCAGCATGGGGGCCGCGGGAGGAGGGACAGCCTGCCCTGGCTGGGAGCAGCCCTCCTGTGATTGTAGGACGGTGTCAGGTGGAGATGGACGGGGGTGGGAACGCTGTGGACAAAGGCTGGTGGTCACCTTTGGGGGCTGGAAACATGGAAGAGGGGCCTGGGAGGAGAGGGGCCCATAGGCCGGGAAAGGTAGCTTAGGCTTTTGGTCAAGGTTCCGGAGGGACCAGGAAAGGCTCTGAGCAGGGAGGAGGAGCAGGAGGAGCACCTCGGACAGTGGTGACTGGTCATCCCAGCTGCCTGCGGACCTGAGCCTGCTCCAGGCTGGTGTCCTTTCTATGCCTCCTTCCCTCTGGGCTGGTCCCATCTCCCTGACCCCAGGGATCTGTATGGTCAAGCGGCAAAGGTGCAGTGAACGGGTACAGGCTGAGGCTGGAAGCCGGGCCTGGAGTCAGGGTTTGCTCCACCTCCTGCCTTCGCGTGCGCAGCCTTGCCCTGGAGCCTCATTCCCCAGCCACTGCCTGGCATCAAATTATATACCTGTCCACTTGTTTATTGTCTGTCTCCTGACTTCCACCAAGACAGGGGCCACAGCTCTCATTCACAGCTGGCTTCCTGGTCCAGAACAGTGCCTGATAGTTAAAAAAAGAAAAGGGAAGATTCCACAAACATTCCCTGGGTCCTGGGGGTGTGAATGCGCATGTCCCTGCCTGTGAGCGAGTCTGTGAGGGACAAGTAAATGTCTTCAAGATAATCATGGGCAAGAGAGGCTGTGGGAG